TCCTGCCACATCAAACATCACGTGAACTTGAACATGCTAGTGCCATGGGATAAGCATCTCCTTTGTTTTTTGAATTCATTGGATGTTTGCTGGAGGGAAAGGTACCAGGTACCTTATAACAGCCAACAGCTGGCTGAAATCGTCTTCAGCGCTGACCTTGCTGGTTACCAGGTGGATGGGGGATGGTAAACAAGAAAGCATGCAGATCCAGTTGGTTGTCCTTTAGAAAGCCCTTTGGCTCTCCTCTTGTGCAGAGCCTTCTTTCACTCCTTGTTTCTTTGTACTGGAGATGGAATTGCCATGACAGGTTATGGTTAGTCCCCACTGGCACATACATTCCCCTTCCAGTGCCACATCATTTGCATAATGGCATGAGTGTGCAGCCGCTGCCTCCTACAGACACCAAGACATTGCTTAGGACTTTTTGCCATGACAGTGCTCCAAGTACGCCTCACAGGGGAAGGTGATATTAGTCGCAGTGTATAGCTGGGGAAACCGAGGCAGAGAGGGCTAATGTTTCCAAGACTACACAGTCAATTGAAAACAGAACTCTCAAGGTCCGGTCTCCTGGCCTGGTGCTCAGCTCCTTTGTCAGGATGTCTCCCAGGGAACCAACATAGGCCAATGCAGCGCACGTGTCACTATAGCTTACGTTATAGACCAGCTCCTTCAGACAGCTCCATTGAAGTCAATCAGTGAAATCACTGGAGCGGTGCTGAATGACACCAGCTATGGGACTGCCCTATTTGTGTCCATGGCTTCCCTTGACAGGACTGTTATTGATTTGTCTGCATGTCAAAGGACCGTTTCTCATTCATATTTGTGATCCACCTATTGGCTTGTGTATTGATTAGTCCAAAATAACAGCAGCTGTGAAGCCTCGATGACGTATCATAGAACTCAAATGAAACGTTGAAACACTTCTGAAGTCAACACAGGGCCTCCCTCCACCGATGGGACCTAGTGGAGCAGCTTTGAAAGGTCTGAGCCGTGGGCTGGGGATAATAGTGCCTTCAGAACCATGGCCAGGTTTCAAAGGTAGAGCTGGAAGGGACCTCGAGAAGACATCAAGTCCAGCCCCCTGCGCTGAGAATTTGGGTGCTCTATGGAGAATGCGAGAGCCCTCAGGTCTGCAATGCTTCTGGTGATGGCACAATGTGCAAATAAACAGCGTGGAAATGCAGCAGAGGGCTAGACGGAGAATTGTGAGTCAACGCGAAATGAATTTTTTTCAAGTTCTCATGTCCATTGAACTGGATTGGTTTTAGATTGTTCAGTTTGCCCCCTCCAAAGCTGAAAATCCATTAATCACTCAGCAATACCTAGCAATCCGTACCTGCTTGTCCCATCAACAGACTCGATGCGAGGTGAATGATTCGTCCCTGATTCATGAACCACAAAGAAACAAGAAGCAATGCCTGTTACTCAGTAACAAAGACTGTACAGTGCATAAGCTCAATATATCACCCAGAAGACATTTTTCTCATAGTCTGTGAATCGCTAGTAGGAAGTGTGGCAAAACAGTAGAGCTGAGGCGTAGCCTTGGGAACACCATCTTTGGAAGGGTCATCTCTGGGGAAGGGGTAAAATCAGTGGAAGCCCCCAACAGGATGGCAGTAATTTCTAGCCAAGCCCTGATGGGCAATACTGAAGCCACCGTCCCAGTGTAGCGGGCCAGGAAAGGTTGGTTTGCCTAGTGGGATGTGCATTTTAATTGCTCATTCTCTTTCCTTCTTTATCTGATTGGATTGTGAGTTATGTTGTGTTTTGCATTTGTAATTAGAGGGTAGAACAGCTGGCAAAGGCGTCATTGGAAGTGCCGTAGCCGTTAAAATAACTTGTGCTCTTCACTGACAGTTCACAAGAAAAGACCTTTTGCTCCATGGAAACACTGAAAGAAAGTCACTACAGCAGGGCCCCACTCTATTACTTATTCCAAAAGACTCCTAATCAGATCCCCAGCCCATGCAAATCAGCATAGCTACACCGAAATCAGCATTAACGCCGAATTATACTCCCTGTGGATCTGGCCCTCCACGTACAACTTTAGAATGGAGAAGTTAATCAAGTTCCTTACAGGCATCAATCGCCACTTTTTTCTGTTTACAATCAGTAATCCTGTATTTACATATCATATTGCCAGGGTAGCCTGCCAGTCCCTAATATACTAGCTAGGTTTCTTCTCTGCTAGTTTGAAAGGGGTCAGTCTGGGATTATTAAATCAGTAAATGTTTTATGATATACATCATCATCTAAGAAACTGAGATGGATACAAATTGCAGGATCCTGCATTTGTGATGAGAACCGAGTGAAATTTTTGACACTAATCATTTATTTGCTGAAAAAAAACCCTGGTTGGGTTGACCGAAGCTATTGGCGAATTTGAGTCAAATTCGGGGAATAATTTGGGGGAAATATTTTTTAGAAACAGTTGATGTGTTTTGTTCTGACATTTTTTAAATGGAACTTTTCACCTTTTTGTTTTGAAATGACATTTTGTTTCAGAATTTAGCTAACAAACAAAGACAAAAACCGTCCACACTCAAAACAAAGTGAAAAAAAAAATTCACTTGGGTTGAACAAAATGGTTTGTTTGACCCAAAACAAAATCTTTGTTGTCATTGTTTCAGTGAGAAAACCCAAAAACCTCCATGGTGGGTTGACTCTCAATGAATTCTTTTCAGATTGGCCATCAAACCAAAAAATCTAGTTGAGATATTTCTGTGACAGGGTAAGTCATATTTGTTGTTACTGCCTCATGGCATCTTTGCCACATACTTACCACTATTAATATTTATTTGTATCAGAGTATTGCCTAGAGATTCCAGTTAAGATCAGGGCCCCTTTGTGCTAGGTGCTGTGCATACACATAGTAGTGGTCAGACCCTGCCTTAAGTGCTTACATCCTGAATAGATAAGACAGACAGAGGAAGATTATCATCCTCATAGTACCTATGGGGAACTGAGATGCAGAAAGATTGTGATTCGCCCCAGGTCATACAGAGCTGGGAACTGAATTCAGATCTTCTAAATTTTAGTCTAGTGTCTTAACCACAAGACCATCTTTCTTCCAACTTACCTTACAGATCCAAGGTGAGTGATGTGAGGCCTAATTAATGTTTAGAAAGTGATCTGAGGGCATTGGATAAAAGGTGCTATATAAGAGCTATTGTATCACATCAATGTTATTCCCTAAGGGTGAAATCCTGACCCCGTTGGAGTCTTTGGACAACTTCAGCGGGGCCAGGAGTTCACCCCAGTTATATACCCTAGGTGGGGAGTGCCATGCTCCAAATTCTGCACTTCTCTTGTGATGGAGCTTCCTCATATCCATGCATCCCACCTAGCGCCTTGCTGCCCTCTATCTTATATCCGGGCGGCCACACGATGAACCTAGCCATGAACAGCCAGGCTGTGTCACAATAAAGTATTAAATGGCTTGTCTTGTCTTTTCATCAGTAAGGCACTTACACTTCCATTCAGCCACCTCCAAACCTGGTTGCTGTTTCTCAGTGAGAACGCAGAAGGAGAATTTCAGCTCTATAACAGAGCAAGATTCTGTTAGACATCCCACTAAGAAACTTGCCTACGTATATTTTAGATTTGGATTAATTTCTTCTTTCGCAAACGAAGGCCTTTTTGTTAGCAGCCACGTATGCCAAACAATCCTGGCAGGGAGCTCATGTCTAATGTCTGTGGCTCTGCAGTGTAGTTTTGACTGGACTGATTGGTAGCATTTCCCACATAGCATTGTGTGTCGGAGTGAATGATTGTAGCGACAGGCCTGACTGTTCTTGGGGCATCATTTTCTAAAACTCGGCTTTATCTTTATTACTAGGTGTACAAGCGTAACTGTCAACCTAGCTTTGAGATTAGGCAAAAGGTCTCTGCTTGGTCCTGGCTGCAGGCTGACCGTGTTAGCCTGAAACACCTCAGCCTGTTAGTAGGTGTTACTCCTGCTAGGAAAGGATTAAAAGGGTGCTGGTGACCTCAGCGCCAGGTGGCTTGTTCCTCCTGGATATCGGGGAGGCGGGAGATTGCTGGGGAAGGAGGATGTAAGTTGTAGGCTGAGTGACGGAGGACGGACCTCTGCCATAGATGGCTTGTATGACGCTCTGCCTCTGTTTTCCATCTCTAAAATGGGGATAATAACATTGCCTTTGGCTGTTTTCCCTGATCCACTTGTGTAAGCAATTTGGGACGAGGCTGCCTCTTCCCGTGGGCTAGATGGCAAAGTTCTTGCCCAGATTGGGAAGCATGAATTGAAGTGTGACTAACTACTCACCAGTTTCACTACGGCACTCACAATCTGGCCCTGTGCGTGTGTACTTTGTGTAAGGGGCCCCTGAGCTCACTTGGAGTCTCTGGGTGCTACCATACTACAAATCATCTGTAATGTGCAGCCTTGTTGGAGGAACTCTGGGAACAGCTAGCCCCCGGGAGAAGGTTTGGGCTGAACTTTGTTTTCCCATTTTTGTTTCCTGTGCTAGCAAAGGGAGTGGGTGAGTTTGGGCTCTACACAGGGAGCGCACTGAACTTGCAGAGCAGGCTGAGGAAGGCACTTGCTCACAGGCTTCATGGACCGGACCCTCAGCTGGTGTGAATCATCACAGTGCCACTGAGCTCAGTAGATCTCTGCCAGTTCACACCAGCTGAGAATCTGATCCCCTGGGTTGAGCTGCTCAACCTCGCACAACTGGGATTTTGTAGAACTGTTTCCATCAGCTTTTTAAAGGAACAGGTTCTCCTTTGGGAAATGTGCACCCTATTCAGGGAATGTAAGCGAACAGTCTTCAAAGAGAGGGAATTGCCCACTTCTAGCCCTGGAGAGTCAGAACGTAAACCTGTCACTGAAGCAGGACTGAATATTCCTCCCCCTTTGTACTTAGATACTTGGAATTGTTTGCAGAGAAGAAAAGTCCTCATTTCAGGCAAGAAGGAAACATTTCTATGGCAGCTTGATTTTTTTTTTTTAAATAAATGGAGGCTGTTCAAAAAAGTTTGAAATGTTAGAAATAGTCACTATTTACTGTTCACATTTGCTTTATGTGTTCGTACAGCACCCGGCACAAAAAGGCACTATTATGATGTACTTGTAATAATTATTTGTTGTTATAAATTAATAAATAATGTTATTGTAATAATTAGAAATCCTGGAGGAGGTGGTTTAGCAGGTGAGAGGGATGATAAAGGCAACTTATCACATGCCGGTGTGTTTTGTGTGTGTGTGTGTACAGATGCCCATACAAATATTTTTAAAACACTTTGCCAAATCAAAGTGATATATTTTTATCAATAAGCCTCTCAAACCAAATACAAAGCCCATCTTTTAAAAAGCTCCGAGGCCTTCCACAATATCAGTGTCAAACAAAATCAATACGCTGAGCTTGACCTTGGTGAGGACTTGGGTTGCCTGCCATGCTTCCTTGCTGCAGATCTCCCTGCTGACTTCGCTTCTCCACGCTGATCGGCGCTTTGGAGGCTGTAGTTTTGTTTAACGGCTCACAATGTTCGGCTCTCGACAACACAAGCTTGAATTATTTAGAGGCACAGAAACAAAGTTGGAACGAGTACAATACAGAGACAAAAGAGGGTAACGTTGAAGTTCAAGGGAGGCCACGCTGAAAAATGCATTGATGCAGGAGGGTATCTAGGTGAGCAACCCATGTTATCTGTGAAACAAAGGAAAGAAAACAAGACTTGATTGTAATGCTAACTTCTCTGTCTGACTGGATTCTAGTCCCAAGGGGGGGTCAGTGTGTATGTATAGGCAAAGTGCAGGCTGCTACTCCATTATACTTGGGCATTTCCTAGCCATGCTTGCTCAAAGAAAGGTATCTTTTCATTTACTGGTGTTTAACCTTTGGTACCCAGTTTGAATGGGGCCCCGGCTGCCATTCATTCTAATCTGAGCCAAGTCAAAAGCTCAGAGGCCTAAATCTACAACAGCACGCATTGCAGCGCAGTCATCCATCGGTGAGCATCATGGAGTGAGTTCCTCTCGGGTCTTTCCTACTGGGGACTGATGTATTAGAGAAATGCAGCAATCATATGACCCGAGTATGAAATAAACACTTAGAAGAAGGCTCCATAGAGCTATCCAAAGCTGCTCAATTATAAGCAAACTCGCACCAGTCATTTTTGGAAAGGTTATCCAAGATAATGGTTTTTTCATTGTCACCCGGTTTGCTAAGAACCTGATCCAAAAAGTCCCTGGGATTCTTTTCATTGACTTCAGATAGGCTTTTGATCAAGCCCCATTTGCTAGTTTGAAAAGCCCTGGCTGCCTCCTTTTTCCTCATCTGTAAAATGGGGATGATCTTTGACCTTCACTGTAAGGCGCTCTGAGATCTACTGGTGAACAATGCTATATAAGAGTTAGGTATCGTTGTTCCACGCAAAGGGTTTGATGTGATGCCGACAGTCCCGTCCATGGCCTTTTTTAGGCATCTCTCTTCCTACCAAATTTGGAATATCTTCAGAGCGTGGCTCAGACAAATCCCTGAAGATGACCAAGTCCTAAGTACTTGCACAGGATGGTCAGAACTCTGTCGGTTTTGGTGTTGACCTGTAAGAAATGAAAGCCGAAAATACACAGCACGCGAGAGGCTTTGCTATTTAAGTGCTCAGATATAAACATTACATACTGTGCCATTGCAATCTTCCTAAGAGGCCCAACTTCTCCCTTGCAGTGCAGCTTGGTTACTTTGCCCCCATCTCACTCATGCTGAGTGATCCTATGCCCAGCATAGCTGGCCCTGGGGTATCGGCAGAGAGAGAGTACCCACACGTCACTCCCTGCTGCTAAACTAGGGGGTATAGTCTGAAGCAAGAGGTTGTGGCCAGGGCTTCCTTATACCCCTCCAGTCCCTGGTTACTGTATTGGCCTGTGGGGACATTATTAACCAGTGTCATGCAATGCTTCTCAAAGTCGGGCCGTTGCTTGTTCAGGGAAAGCCCATGGAAGTTCGGGCTGGTTTGTTTATCTACAGCGTCCGCAGGTTCGGCTGATCGCGGCTCCCATTGGCCATGGTTTGCTGCTCCAGGCCAATGGGGGCTGCGGGAAGGGTGGCCAGCACATCCCTCAGCCCACCCCACTTCCCGCCGCCCCCATTGGCCTGGAGCAGCGAACCATGGCCAGTGGGAGCCGTGATCGGCCGAACCTGCGGACGCAGCAGGTAAACAAACCGTCCCGGCCCGCCAGGGTCTTTCCCTGGACCGGCTTTGAGAAGCACTGATTTAGAGTAACCTCAGCCAAGCCATGCTGCTATTGCCGGTGTTACCACGGCTAAGTGGCTTTTTATGCCCGTGCTAGCTATCTTCAAGCTATTGCAAGTATGTGTAGCAAGTGGGGGAATTAAACCCCTTGCTCATAGTGCAGCCATAGCCTAAGGAAGTCTAGACTTTCCCCTCCTACCCTCTCGCGGAACCAGTGTTAATCTGTACAGCGATCTCATTAAATAGCTGCATTCGCTCATTGGTATTTTGTACACATTCGTTGAATTTCGTTCTTCTTTAATATTGCACCTATCAGACATTTTTCACATGTAGAATGCTACTAAAAAGAATTAAAACCTATATTTACACACACACACACAATCCTTTAGGACAACAAATAACCAGGCAGGGATAGACAGTAGTAATTCACTCATATTTTTCCCTGACATTTATAAATGGCTCAAGTTTTCCTCTTATGGTTTATGATGTTATCATGGTCCTGTCTAAACTACTACCTCAAAATACATTCTTCAGGGTTATTTTCTCCATAAAACACTGACAATAATAATTTCTCCTGTAAAACCTTCAGCTCCTGCTTGCACTGTAATTTTAGAACTGCCAAGTCATCCACGTAAATGTGATGGCTAGCAAATTGCAGGCTCGCAGATATTTACTATCCCTGCTTACGACCACCAGGTCACGTTATGCCATTGTGATGACTTATTCACTGAGTTGGCGAATGCAGACTCAGATCACCGACAAGGTTGATAGGCCATCAAGAGGCAGATTTAATGGATCACGTCCTTTCAGCTGCCTAGAAAGTTGGCCCGGGCCAGTAGATCCAGTTGAACACAGTTCCGGGGACATTGAACGGAGATGGAGTAACAAAAGCAGAAGCAACATTTACACACATGCGGCCTTATCTAATCTAATCCAATCGATCGTTCTGTGTACTTAGATGGCCCTCACCATCAAAGTATCTGAGCACTTCACTTCAAGGCTGTGCCCAAAATTTCCAGCCAAACTGCTTCTCTGTCCGCTGCTTCTTCCAGGCACTGCTGTGTCTCTTTGTCCTCACCTCAGGCATGCTAGGAGTGCCTTGGGGAAGGAGTGGCTCTCAGTTATTCCTTTTATCTGGGTGCTCATCAGAACCAACATCCCACAGCTGTAGGTTCTTCTGGAATTCTCTGGCTAGGGAGCACTCAGACTCCCACCCATCACACAGGGAAAGGACCACTACCTGTAGACAGACAAAAGGTATGACAGGGTATCACCAATATGGAGGTAACCGGCCCAGGTCCTTGTTAAAGGTGACGCACAGTAAATGTAGGCGTTGTGCCCATTTATATCAACAACAAATTTCACCCATTAGCTTTCTTGCATCCCTATTTTTGCCACAGCAATATATTAATTTCTGGTTAAGCCTTCTCTCTCCATCTTAGGAGTCTCTCTCCCACCATTATCTGTACCATTGCTGGGACTCACTGGATGGCCCTATTGCAAGTCGTGTTACAAAGTTTTGGATAAGCAGCAAGCTCTTGGAAAAATACTTATTGTTAAATGTGAGGCTAGTTGCATTCAATGTGGAAGATCTCACCAGATAAAGTCTGTCCTGCTGGAATCTCTCAGCTAAGCACCATTCCAAGGGGATGTCTGCAATCAGGAGGAATGATTGCAGCACATATAAGCATTCCCAAGCTAGCTTGCTAAAAATAGCAGTTTAGCCACTGTGGCATAGGTGGCAACATGGGCCAGTTGTCTAAGTTTTATCCCATCCTATCCGGGACCATTGGGATGCAGTTGGGTGGCTAGCCCATCTGCCACAGCTACACTGCCATTTGGAGGGAGGCAGCTTGAGCAAAACTAGCTAGGGTATGTCTGCACATGCTGCAATCACCTGTCCCGAGTGCAGTGTGAACATACCCTTAGATGTAGCTTTTGCCTACAGGTTTATACATATCCAAACAAAAGTATTGCATGGTGCCAAAACAAGACAGCATCCTCTCTGTTGCACGGGACTTCCTCATATTCCACACAGTGCTCTAGATTGTATGACTCAAACAGGTATCACTCAAAGGATTTATTATTACTACCAGAGCACCTCGGAGCATTAGTCATAGACCAAGCTCTCAGTGTGCCAGGCGCTGTACAAACACAGACCAAAAGGCAGTCCCTGCCCCAAAGGGTTTTCAATCTAGGTATAAAACAAGAGACAAACAGAGAGGCAGGAAACAAGGGGACCGGATTGGTCAGCATGATCGGAAGTGGGCTCAGCACACCAGTGGCCTAATTCTTAAGTTTTAGGTAGGCCCCATAGCAAAGGAGAGTTTGAAGGAGGGATTTGAATGAGGACAGTGAGGTGTGTGTGAGGGGCAGGATGGGAGAACGGGCAGTGGTGGGGTTTTCAGTGTTGCACGTTCTTAGAATGGAAAATACTGCAAGTACAGTGGGCAATTTCACGATATATTGGGTGATAATGAGGTGTTTGGTTTTTAAAGACCCTCCCCCCCACTGTAGCTGAGGTCAGACCGTATCCTGTGCTATGTTGATTTGTCTAGCTTCGACTTCCAGCCATTTGCCTGTGTCCAACCTTTCCTTCCTAGATTGAAGAGAATACTTCTTTTCTCCCACTCTTTGTCAGGCTTCTCTCTTTAGACTGCCTGCTTTTTAGGGCATTCTGGGTACGTCTACACTGCAGAAAAAAGCCTCACAGCAGCGGGTCTTAAAGCCTAGGTCAACCCGACTTGGGCTTGTGCTATGGAGCTAAAAATAGCAGTATAGACGTTCCTGTTCAGGAGGGAGCCAAGGCTCTGAGACCCATCCCCATCCCTGGGTTTCAGAGCCAGGCTCCAGCCCCAGTGGGAATAGCTACACTGCTATTTTGAGCCCCATAGCCTGAGCGCCAGTCAGTTGACTTGGGCTCTGAGATTCACTGCCGTGGTGGTGTTTTTTTGCAGTGTAGACGTACCCTCTAACTAGCATGTGTAGAGTGCCTCGTACAAAGGCGTCCCAGTCTTGGCTGAGATCTATTGGAGCCACCGTAATATGCATAAGAGCTAGGAATGATATTCAGAGACTGAAAATGGGGATTTCAGACACCCTGCCCGCCGCATGATGTTAATAACCTTAGTGGAGTTTTGAGAATGGGCAATTTTGTGTGTGCAAGTTTTTCTTTCAGTGAGTCACAAGGCAAAAAGAAAAGAAATCAGGTGTGTTATTTCTAGAAATGTGATTGCTGAACATTGACAAGGAATTGATCGCAATCCCGAAACAATGCAACAAATTGCTACAGTTGGGTCACACAGCATGAACTTGGATATGTCAAAATGGATCAGAAAGGTGCAATTTTTGCTCACTTACCACAATACAGATGCTATTATCTTGACATAAACCTCGGGTCAGGTGGAAAAATATTCCCCTTGGTTAGGTGAAGTAACTGAGGCACAGTAACTGCCTCAGATGAGAAGATTCTGGGTGGGTGGATGGATAGATGTACAATGAGCTAATGCAAAGGTCAGGAAGCAAACATTAGAAGTCCAGGACATTGGCTGGAGTAACTCCCTGGAGGGTATATCATCTCAGACCCCATGAAATTAGGCTGGCATAGCCTGAAAGCTGTAATTCTGTTGCTATGGCTCATAAAACCATCGCCCACTGAACTCATGGTACTCACACCAAGACATGGAAATGACCAAAAGGCCCAGCTTTCAGACTGAAGAAAATTGACTTGCCATCAGCTCTTACCAATGGATGCAAGTAGGAACATGTGTCTATGGAACACCATATGGGGAGCCATTACATCCTCCTGGATGCCATCCGCAACTTGGTTTTCTAGCTGTACTTTGGACAACTATGGCACATGAGGAATAGAACCCAGCGAATTGAAGATTTCCCCATGCATGGCTGGCTGGCTGGCATACCGCCGCTGCTGTCCCCATGCATGGCTGGCTGGCTGGCGTAGCGCCGCTGCTGACCCCATGCATGGCTGGCTGGCTGGCTGGCTGGCCTACACTGATGACATGTGTGTCCCATTTTTTTTTGTTTCATTAACGTGCATGCCACAAAACGCTGCAGTCTCTCCCACTTTCCTTTGGGACCTAAATTCCTGATGACAGTAAACCAGATTTGACAAAGGGTTCAGCAAAGCATCCCCCACCCACCTGCTCTACGGTGGGGTAAGTGAGTGTACTGCACCCTGTGCAATGAACCCAACGTCCAGGTAAATCACATAGTTGGGTTGCCAACCCTCCAGGATTGTCCTGGAGTCTCTAGGAATGAAAGATTAAGCTTTAATTAAAGATTATGTCATGTGACGAAACCGCCAGGAATACATCCAACCCTACCACATAGGGATGCATGGGGTATTTTTGCTCTCCTTTACATCTCTGTGGAGAGACACTGTCCAAATTGAACTAACCCTAAATGAACTGAAGTGACAATATTTTGGAAAACAGAGCGAATTACTTTAAAATGGTGGATTACTTCAGGTAGGAGAAAGTGGCAGGTAAGAGAGTGGTCCAGTGGTTAAGGAGCTTACCTGAGACTGGGGAAACTTATGTTCAGTTCCTCGCTGTGCCTCTGACTTCCTGCTTTGCTTCAGTTCCCCATCTGTAAAATGTGGCTGATAATTGAGGCTTTTCCTGAAACACATGTGTAACGCTGACAGACCCCGGTTGTCAGTGGGCGGGATCGAACCTGGGACTTCTGGAGCTTAATGCATGAGCCAAAAGCTAACTGGCTCTTAGCTAAGGCTGTAGCAGACTCATTTATTTCTCTCTCTAAGTGGTCTCGGTGCCACTAGATGGGCCAGAACACCACACCAAGGAGGTTTATGGGTTACAAATGCATCGGCATAATTTGATTTCTATATTTGGGGGGTCAGCTCCAGTTAGGCCAACGGGGCTGCGCAGGTGGGGGAAATTTCACACATGCCCAGAGCTTGCAGTTTGGGGGGGCAATGAAATACCTTAGAGTTAAATTTTGACCCCCTAGTTGCTGTCCCTAAGTGTCCCAAACGGCCACCGTAGCCTCTGAATAACCAACTGAATTTTCATAGGGTTACCATACGTCCGGATTTCCCCGGACATGTCCGG